TTATTATAAATAATATTAAAACAAAAAGAATTATAACACTTTTTTAAGATAAAAAGATTTATAAAAAAAAATTTTCAAATTAGATTATTAGAATTAAAATACACATCACCAAAATAAATTCTTTCAATGGGTACAAATAAAAATAAATTTATTGTTTGTCTTTAAATTATTGAACAGACTTTTAAAACTTTCTTCAGGTTGGTTGGATAATAAATTATATTTGTTTTATTTTTATTATTTTTTTAATTAAAAAATGGAAAGTTTATTTTGTTATATCTTTAAATTGTGTTGTTTCAATACAGTTTTTTGTTTATATAACAAAAATAATTTCAATAGAATATTTTTCATGAACTAAATTAAACAACAACTAAAAATCTAATACTTCAAAACCATTTAAATCATGAGAAGTTCTCAATTCTTTATCATTAGATATTTCAAAAACGTCTTTTGCCAATTTCATAAAATCATCAACCTCGTGAAGATTTTTAATAAGAAATCCGAAAGTACAAAAATCATCTAATTTAGTTGGGTCTATTGTATGAACACTAAATCTATTTGAACCAATTGGAGAATAAGACTTTGTATCTATTTCAGTAAATGATTTAAATGATGGTTGTACAATATGTGGGTCAAGATAAAGAAACTGTAATGCATGAAATCCAAAAACAAAAATTGCTCTGTCTCCCATTCCACCAACAATACCAGCAAACAATTTTGATTTATAAATTTGTTGTAATTTAGAATGAATTAAATGATTTAATACAATAGGAAGAAATACAAGAGTTGGTTTAAAAGGAAGTTTACTTAATTCATGAGTTGGTATTGAAACATTTGAACACATAACACATCTAATAGGACATAACTTCCATGAATTAACAAGATCTCTAATAAGTAAATAACTATTTTTTTTTATCTAATGAATAACAACAAACGAATAAGCTTTTGCAACAACTGATGGAGCTAAATAATTTACTCCAGACTTATTTTTTTCTACTACAAAACGAGATTCATAAACATGATGAATTGATAATGGAGTTGTTGAATTAGGTGAATCAATAAATGGAATTAATACATTCATCACCTCTTGTTTTGTTGGTATGTATGGTGTTTGTGTATTATTAAGAGCACCAGAATATACAATTGTTTCCATTGCATTGGCTATCATCATTTGCATAGCACGAATAGTACACCCCCATCCTACATCTGTTGTTAATGATGAATTTGGTAATTTCTCATACCCTGAACGGTATGTCATCCAAAATAAATTTGATATTCGAAAAAATGCTGCCGCTGAACTGTACTGAAGATAAACTTCTGGTGGTTGTTCTGCTAATTGTTTATCCATTTGTTTAGTTTTAAATTCAACTCCAAGAATATAAAATGAACAACCACCAACAAATATTGGTTTTTGTACATCTTCATGACCTATTTGATTATAGAATTTACTAAGAATATTATAACTTCCATGCTGTACAAGTTTCTGGAAATAAGACATTTTTACTTATTTCAAGTTCAGATTTTTTTGAAAAATTTAACTAATCTAAAAATACAATTTTCTCTACCATTTTTCTTTCTTCAACTATTTTTATTTGTCTTTTTCTATTCTTCTTCTTTTAATAATATCTAATATCATACTTTCTGTCATTTTTGAAAATACAAAAAATATCTCTTTTATATTTAATTGATTTTAATTGATTTTATTTGGATAGATTAGACTTTAACTAATATATCCAATTGATATATATACAATTATAGTAATTATAATATTCTATTATATTAATCTCATTAATACTTTTTTTTAATTATTATATTATATTTCTTTATCATATAGTCTACCAATGATTATATAATAACACTACTACTATCTCTTTTTGAGTATTTATAACTGTTAAAAAAGATTCAAAATTAAGCATAAATACTGATACTTAGTAACATAAAAAGAAACTAAGTAATAATTTTAATATATAATTTTTTAATAATTATATTATGAACAATTAAATTTTTTTTAATAAGTTATGTCAATATTTGAATTGATATAATTAATTTTTGTATTGTTAGTTTTTATTTCTAACAATATGAATAATATTACTTTTCTAAATCAATAATATTACTTTTTCATTAAATAAAATAACAAGCACATACATCAACTTCATTAATTGAAACTTTTAATCGGAATATCAACCAACGTACTGAGTATTTATTTATTAACAAATCCTTAAAAATTTTGAATTAATAAAAGAGTTAATGCCTTACATGGTTTTTGTTCATTTTTGTGTATGTGGTTTAATTTAAAGACAGACAATTCATTCTTGATTGGTAGATATAAACAAATTAAAACGA